AAAATTATTTTATAAGCAAAAACTTTATCTTATAAGTATAAACATCTCAATTATCCTTGCCTTTACCATAAAGAAGGGTAGAAAATAAATGAGGCACCATGCTTAGTATCTCACTTTAGATAGCCACACTCCTGCCTGGTACGTACGCACACGCTTTCGTAGGGAAGTTCGCATAATAGACTCTAATCCGAATCTAAATCTGAGCTTACGAGATAAACAGTCTATTAGGGAGGACGCGGGACGTTGCAGCGCGGGACGGACCAGCTCGAAATCTCCGAGGGATCGGGGGGATGTAACGGCTACATCAAAGGTATCGGATTGATGAGGAGAATCCCCGTACTGCCGCATCCCGGGTTTATAAACCGTGAGATACGCAGCCCTCTTGCAACAGTCGTCAATCGCGAACAATCGGATCAAAACGAGCTTTTCTTGGAAAATTATCGCGAAAAGATTAAACGGCGGAGAATCGAGCGAGATTTCGTGGGACCATGTCGGTTTCTCGATGAAAAATTAACGCGGAGGGTCGATATATCACGGCGAGGGCGTGAATTCCGATATCATTGAATCGAAGGGTGCGACGGTGGATAAATCTACCTTTTTATAAAACTTGAGAAAATTGATTTAAATCTGGCTTCTTTGAATTTTGCTCTCGCCAATTCTTAAAAGAGCCACTTTACCGTTTAGTACTGTAATCTCTAGTTAAATTTAATGGGCGCCTGCAACGAGTTTTCAGAATTCTACACGAAATTTCGTAATAAAATAGATTTGAATAGAATAGCTTAATCCGATAAAAATAAAATACTTTTTAACACAGTAAAGTGCGTCAATTACATGTATCTATGTATTCTTACGTCTTGAATTTATTGGTCCTCTTTGCGAGCTGCATTCAAATTACTTCTCACGATTATATGTTATATCATAATACGGGTTATAATTCGCGTCGATATTCGTGTAGATTTTTTTTAGGGTGCACTCAACTTGAGTGCCGTTCACTTAATTATTGGCAATATTTCGTTATCGAGTGATACCATGTATCCGTATATCTACACGATTGAATCTGTGGTGCAAGGGGTTTTAAAACTCTGATGATAACAGTCGGATATTTGATAATCCAGTCGTAATACGAATATATCTTGTTATACTTTCTGTTATGCAATACTAAATGTCTTCTTGTTTTTCCTTTTTTTTCATATTTCGTGTCTTATCTAATCACGTTTATTACGAGTTGTGCACGTAGTAGGGTGCACGTCAAATGACATATATTAATAATGTTTCATCATTAGAATGTAATTCTGTTGGGGTACGTTTCAGAAAAATAGCCCGTAGTAAATTAATAATACACAGAGAGAATTTTCTCTTAAAATTTATCCTGAAAATAACAGTAGTTGTGGGACGACGTCCCACGTATTACGAAGAATTTCATGCGAGCTATTCTGATTAATATCTACCATAATGAAAAATATTAATATCCATTACAATAAAATATAAAATATGTTTGATTAATTTTACTAAAATATATAGTAAAATAATTTTTCAAAAATTACCAATCTGCTTAGTGAATTTAACGGTAAAATATAACGAAAAATTCTCTCCGTGTAGTTATCAATCATATACGAGAAGAAATATTTTTTTTTACAGATTATGCAGAATTAATTGTTTACATATGTGCGATTGCAATCTCAGTTTTATGTTCCAGTTTTATAAATATTTTTCATATAACGTCACATTATTTTACGTCATATCGTTCAATAACATAATGTCAAACGAATGAAAAATACTCGCGAAGTCGCTTAAATTAGACGTGAAAATATTGCATTTTTCCAATATATATCCTGACTTTCAATGCAGCAGAGAGCTATTCGAAATGCACCGTCAGGCATGCTAACGCTCACTCTCTCTTTGGCAGGAAACTATATTTTATAAAATTACATTCTCTCTATTATAAGTTGCGACGTGGGACGCGAATTAATACGTCGGCAGGTGGGCATGGCATTCATTTCGGTGAATGGGAGAAACACGGATGTTCGTTGTATCACTGTTTAATGCCGGAGGCCATCGATAATTAAGGAAAGCTACGTAGGTGTTATCAAATTTATTGCCAATATACGCGTCGACGTAGGAGGTTAATGTCGCTGAATGGAGTAATTTCTTGTCGTTCCATTACAAAGAGCTATTACCGCAGTATCCGGAATCAGTCGAAGTTGCGAACGTAAATTTAGTTCGGAAACTTGCAGTGCTTGTGGCTGTTATCGATTACACGTATACTAAAATTAGAAGAAACATGGTATTTCTCGCGATAAACAAGTGTCATTCTATGAAAAAAATTTTTTTTTTAATTTTTCACTGAATTTTAATTTCCATCTTTCATCCGATCTTTTTTTATCGGTCAATAAAAAACTTTACGTTTACTTTAATAAGCAAAATTTCAAATTGATCCATAAATATTTGCTAGTTTCTTAGAGTAGTGTCGAACAACTGTAGCATCTATTTAGTTATAATAAAGGGCTGCAGTTAGAAGGCCAATTTTAAGTATGCTCCATTCAAAATGCCATTAAGAGCGTCTCGCGGCTCATTCGTACAGAACATTTCTGGGCTTGGCGTGTACCGAGCCATCAGCTAGTCGAGGGCGGTATGATTGACGAGCCCTTAAACGAAATGGGATTAATGCGCATACAAATTTCGGAGTCTCGAGGGAGTTCATCCCAACTCGTCGATAATAATTATTATTAATGATGAAATTAGTGGGCGGCCGCGTGCCGTTGATTTAGCCCCCAAAACAATCGCACGAAAAATCGAGGAATTGGTGTTCCCTATTTGCAGATTGTCTCTACAAAGGCCGTGTAAAATTTAGATCAGCCATAAATTAATCAGTAATTAATGATTCCTACAACGCAATTATATTACATATTTAATTCGCAAATCGTATATAAATCGAAATATGAGTAAAGCAAAATCCAAATTTGTCATTAAAACATGTTTAATAGATAGAATTAAATTAATATTTGTTTGTTAAAATAATAAATGTTACTACATGACATGATATTAGAAAATATCATAGTAAACCCTTTTGTACTTATAATTCTACGCATTTTTCTCTCAGTACGTGATAATAATCTTTATAACAAATAACTGAGATTTCGTTGATGATTTCGGTAAAGTGGAAGATCGGTGTTGTATTTATTTAGTATTTTGCGGTATCTTTGATGATTTGTTAAGCAGGGCAATCGACATCGGAGAGAGAATTAATTACGGAGCTGAGAGGCTTCCAGGCTTCAAAGGACGCGAGTAAAGTATTTCTCGGAAATGGAAATGTAAATGATGGCGTGAGTACACGCAAATGTCAAAATTTCCAGCCATTTTGCCAGTTGTACTTGTGAGAGATGAAATTGGCGCACGGCCACGTATAATCGCACAAAGGAACTTCTACAAAACCGAAGAAACTCCCGCGCCGTTGATTTGTGTACCGCACGCAGAATTCAGCAAAATGTATTCTGTAACTTCCAGAGCATATTCCTCGGGAAGCTGTTTCCAGGGAAAATCATAGCTCATCGCGATTTCAAAGACGTAATCTTAGTTAGCAAACTATTTGCGGGGGCCGGAGCTCCTTCTCGCATATATACATCTTCCTGATTTAATCTCTCGCAGACACCATCATTTACCTAATTTCTGTTTTAATAATCCAATTAAATTCATTTCAATATTAATTACTCAGTTACTGATCGTAATAGAAATGCGAAATTACAAAAGTGACGAGTTCTCCATCGGTAATTATAGCATCTCCATTTTAATTTGCTTGGACGATTGTCCATAAATTTATTATGACGCAATTACTCAAGAAATTAATTATTGACAAGCAGATAAAAAGAAATTTATAAATGTACTTAATGCAAAAGTCCTATTGTATAGTAAGTTTTACATAACAAAAATAAAAGTTTTTTCCTTATTCCAAAATAATTGCGTCCAACATTTAATAAACATTGTGAACACTTATTTTTATCTGTATTTTTATATTGAGAGATCCAATCTCGAAAAATTGAGGTAGCAGTTTGCTTATGTAGGAAAGCTTTTTAAAGGAAGATTTCCTTTTTTAGCAGAAACTCGATTATAATATTCTCGCGAGACAGAATACGAAGAAAATCCGTTCGCGAAGGGCTGGTATAATATAAGCTCGCTATTTCGCCATTCACGAATAGATTTGTTCGAGGTTTCGGAATGAGCTGAGAAATCGTCGCGAACGTTGAATTTTCTTCTATAAAACGCTCCCTAGAGAAAGAGGACGGATGCAGCCCCGCTTGCTATACGACGGAGGGTGGAATCGGTTTCTCGGATTTTACGAACTTTCGACCGATAACTTGCTTCTTTACTCCCTGACTCTCTCTTTCTTTATTTTTCTTCATTCTTTTTTTTTCAACTTCCTTCTCTCACGTTCTCGTGTCCCTCCACTAAGACGTTTGACGGAACTTAGAATATAAACGACCCGAAACCCCTCATCGGTACGTCAACTCGAACGCTGGGTGGGATGATAGATCGACTCTTTCGACGACGACGCGACGCCGCGAAGATATAAATGCATACTTTTGAAAGGCTAAACTAGCGGGTTTGCCGGAACGATTTTGTATGATAAAATAGCTGAAATTATATAGTCTATAAAAAATATTTGCAATATATATAATCGGATGTGCGTGATTTAATATTTATTTGTGTTTTCTTCTTTCTTTTCTACGAAAGACATTTTGGAAGTCATTACTGCGTTGCATCAAAATCTGTGATATAGCTTCTTTCTATATAATTCAAAATTATAAGAATGTTCGTAAATTATTGAAATAAAGTCAAACAATCGAAATAAAATATTAAGATACAGAAGATACTTGGGAAGAGCTGTACGAAATATTTATTTAAAAAGTCAACATCGTCCCTTTATGAAAGTATTGGAATCGTAGAGTTGTTGGAATCGTTGGGCACGAAGACAGAAATAAATACGTTATTTCCACATGTTCCAGGTCGATTTCGGCGACGTTTTCATACCGTCTGACTTGAAGGTACCGAAATTGCAAGTGCTTCCTGAATTTTCGAGATTGGCGCACGGCCTCCGCAGCGGCAACATCAGTATTCTAGACAGCAAAACAATCTACATTCCAAATTTGCATTACGACGGTGGTGGACCGGACGCTTACTTCTGGGTAGGCAACGGCTCAGAACCCAGCCGTTTTGGTATCAAGGTCCCCAATGAAGTAGACAGGTCAGTTGAGACACAAGCAGTCTGAAACAATTAATGAATTAATTTTCATAAAACTAATATTATCATTATCCTATAAAAAATCTAGAGGATGTAGATCTCTGCATAAAAAATTATACGGGAAATAAATAAATACCAAAAACACTATCGCATAATTTATTTTAAAGCAACAAATTTATTGTTATACATTTTAAAAACTTATTTTAACTTTAAGTGAGCCTTATATAATTACTTTTAATAATACGGGTTTTATTTTCTCCATCTGTATATATATTTGTACATGTATCCGTATATATTTAAGAAATTAACATTACTTAATTTAGATTTAATTGAAAGATATAACGTGTCTACAAAAGTTTGGGTGTACTCGTACTTTAATTTAAAACATTTTACTCAAGTTACTGCAATTATTATTAATCTAATCTAATCCGCCGACAGTTTGGCACCATTAAGAGGATACCAAGGAGAGGACATCGAGATCGTCTTGCCGGGGAACTTGACGGTGTACGACATCAGCTGGCTCGCGGTGTGGTGCGTTGAATACAGACACAATTTCGGCCATGTTCTAATTCCAAGGGACCTCGACGTTCCACCGGCTCTCGGCCAGACGAAAATTACGGTAAACCAAAATGAGTTCTCCAATCCTGATACGCCCCAAACTTTCGTGCCTTACGTACCCTCATTAACGTTCACTATGAAATGATAATATACGCGGCTCCGCTCTTTGATATACGGTATATACACGATGAAAAGCTTCGCCTTAATGAAGACGAATTGAATGCACTGTGAAGAGGAACGTTTGCGTCTTTATATGATAAAATACACGTAGCTGCTAATATTTTAGATTCAATAAAAATCGTGCCAGCAAGGCTCTTACTCTAGTCATTTTTAAGCAACTGTACAATATCTTCTTAAAGCTAAATGAAATCAAGGATCATGGATTTCATCTTGAGAAGTTCTCAATCTTCCTGATAATATAACGAAATCGTTATCACGTTTGTCGTTCAAATTCAATCATTATATTCTCTTTAATAACGTTGCTTTTGATTTTTAAATGGAATAGCCGCCATGGTGGTATAATCCAGTAAGTACAACGCGATCGATGCACGATATTTTGCCGTACGGATGATAATTCCCCGTATTGAGGTCACAGGTCACAGATTCGCGATATTTTCTTTTTCAGACGAGCAGCACACCGACGCCTAAGGTGAACAACTGCAAAGAGATGCTAAATGGCCGTATTCAAGTGCAGTGGCAGCTGAAGGGTGAGGACGTGCAGATTCGACTGTCGGGACGCATCAAGGAGGACCAGTATGTGGCGTTCGGGTTGTCGGGTGAGGAAGGCAAGGCCGAGATGATCGGCGGCGACGTCGCTGTGATCGGATACAATAAACGAACCGGCAAGTTCATCGCCGAGGATTACTACATGTCGGACTTATCTCAGTGCGATGGCAAGAAGGGTGTATGCCCGGATGAGAGGATCGGCGGGAGAAATGACGTGGTGCTCTTGCATGGGGAAAGGAAGAATGGCATAACAACGGGTACATTTCTATTCTATACGTTATAAAGGATATTACGATAGAAACGGAAAAAATAATACATGGCTAATTGTTACGTTTATTCTCTTTGACAATTTTACTCTTTACGCGACTTAAAAAATGTGTGGTCTTATATAAGAGATACATTTACTAGTTACCGGTATAAATTTACCAGTTACATAATAAAAATTTACGAGAAATTTTTCATTAAACAGTTCAATTTTATTTAATAGATAAATTAGAATAAAAATGTAACATAAATGAATATGTACTATATAGGAATTTTATAGTTAATTGAAAATCTATATTTAAATGCCATTTGCGATTTTTAATATAACAACTGGCATGTAAAATTATTTTTGAATGTATTCGCATCAACTTGAATGTTTGTCATAAATTAGGTAAACTAAAGTATACGAAACAGAAATTATTGTTAGAGTGGTGCAATTCATATTTTCATTGCAGTTACGTACACACGTCCGATGAGAACCAACGAGCCAGAGAAGGACAGGATGATTCCGGAAAGGGAAACCAGCGTGATCGCTGCCATCGGAGTTCTGAATTCGCAGGGCGAAGCAAATGCTCACGAGAGATTCGATAAGACTACCGAGGATATTCGTATCGATTTTACGTCGAGAAATGTTCACGACTGTACAAATTCCCTGTACAATATTCCGGACGAACCTGATCTTGAACCCTGGACGCCGGCCGTTATCAATGATAAGAATCTTTTCAGTGCAAGAATTGGACCGACTGGTTCGAAAAGAGGATACTCAAAAATCACAGGTATTAATTACACATTATGACCGAATTATATATCTAATTCTTATTTTGTTAAGTAAAACCGCACCGTCTTATGTTAAATGTATGTAGAATTATTTGATGAAACTTGGAGATTAATTAAAATAGAATTTAATTAAAATCTAATTGAAAGATAGTATCTTATTATATATATAAAAATAATATATGTCATATATTAATAAATTTGCAGATATTTTTTATATTTATTCTACTGTAAAATATTAAATAGTATTAGTATTATGATTATGTTGAAATTGTTTACCGTTGACTTTTTTCCCCTTAAGATGATATAGTATTTTAAGGCCATAATCAGTGATCCTTATTGCAATTTAGGTACACCCTCTTGGGGCATCGCATGGTATATCAATGATTTGCTGATCCCGGAGATCACCGTCGAGCGAGGAAAAACTTATACCTTTATTGTGGAGGGTGGAGACGATTATACCAATCCCGCTAGGTGAGTCTTGAGAATAACACCCTTCAAAATACGTACACGGTACAAGATTAGATTGAGATCGCTATATAATATTCCCGGTATGACATTGTGAAACGCATTATTGTGAAACGTTTATATACCTTCGACAGGTATCATCCATTCTATATAACTGACAGTCCGGAGGGTGGTCTTGGACAACAGACAGGGAATCAAATAATGAACGAAAGAGTATTTGCTGGCGTAGAGCGTGGTTCTGACGGATATTTCGAACCGACCGCAAAGGGTCGTTATTGCGAATGGGTCCGCACTACGGTGGATAACCCGGATAATTACAAGACGTTTAAGAGATTCTTCGAAACGCTCGAACTCAAATGCGACAAGGGCGAGCCTGCCAAGCTCGTGTGGACCGTGGAAAAAGACACGCCGGACTTAGTTTACTATCAGGTACGAATTTGAGGGAAAAGCCAAAACTTCGAACAATTACCTGCAAATATATAAATTATTTTAGTTTTAAACAATCTTATTAAAATTTATTTATTTTCTGAGAAGATTACAATATCGTATAACTTACTTGTTCAGTGTTACACGCACAAACATCTGGGCTGGAAGATTCATGTCGTCGACCCGGGACGGTCGCTGAGAAACATTAACGGTGTCAGTCAAGTTTTGCCTGCGTTTACGACATCTGTGGTGTCCATCATCGCACTTCTTTTATTCTCAAGATGAATCATTGCGTTTCCTTCTTTCAACGTGGAACAAATAATAGAAGACAAAGATGACGACGAAAATTGATCGATTTAAGATGATTACGATAGCTACAACAATGTACACACGATTGTTAAATCGACGAAACACATACAAGGTTGTATGAAAGTATTTAGTACGTAAGATTTACTTGTAAGGTAAAAGATTAGCAAAATATTTTTAAGACCTATCAGATTCAATATTTCATATTATATATACATATATATGAGATATATATATTATATATAATACATATACATGCATATACATATATACACAAGTACACGCATACACATATATATGTATGAACATGAACGCAAAATTTCCATACTCTTTGATATAAAGTCAAGCTGACAATAATAATGATTAGAGGTGGGTAATCAATGAAATTCTGACAATAATCATGATCAGGACTGAATAATCAATGAAATGCTGACAATAATTACAATCAGAACTGAGTAATTTCCATATTCTTTGACATAAAGTCGAGCTGACAATAATAATGTTTAGAGATGGGTAATCAGTGAAATTTTGACAATAATCATGATCAGGATTGAATAACAAATGAAATTCAGACAATAATTATAATCAAAACTAAGTAATTAATGAAATTTGGACAAGAACGATTGTTTATTATTAGGGAAGGGATATGTCAAAACAATATCCGCGGACGAGCTGATTAGCACGTAACTATAGATATAAATTTGATGCGGAGAAATGGAGGTGCATCAGCATGTACAATGTAAATTTTGCACAAAACTATAGTTGATCTTAATATAACTTTAAATCGATGATAATACGTAAGAAATACATTTATAAATGCTGTCGACTTGACAATAATACGTAGAGTAGTCAATCGAGAGAGAGAAAGAGAGAGAGAGAGAGAGAAAAGAGGGAGAGAAAGAAAAGAGGGAGAGAAAGAAAGAGAGATTAACGAAATGTGAATTATGTACAAGAAAGTAAGGAAAAAGTAATACTTAAGGGTGATGTGCAAGTTACAAACTATCCCTTATACGTATAACAATAATATGTATATACTATAGAGTGGACCTTCCTAAAACGGAATGAAAGTGTAAAATGTGCCTTGGGTACAGATAATAAATGTCTTTAATTACAATGATTAGGACTCACTCGGCAAAATAAGGACACCATCTAGTACTTTGGAACTGGTCTCTTGTGCGTGAAGCGTGTCGCATGAGTAAAGCTACAGTTTAAATTTTATAGAAAAAAATATCAAAGAAGAAAACTCTTTCAAAAACTATTTCTTCAAATACTCAATACGGTTTTAATTATATGCCGACACAACTATAATTGTTAAACAACGCATTATTCGCGTATATTTCGCGAGTAGCAAGAATAATTCCTATAAGTACAATAAAGGAAAGAAACATAAAATTATCAAAAAATATCAAAAGACGGCTTGTTGCAGACAGATATGTCTCATATCGCAAAACGTACAAGGGATATGTAAGACGTGCAACCAAGAGAAATCAGCGGAATACATAATCAATTTAGGGTAGTGTAACGCCTCTCGTAATGTCAAGTTTTAAATGTGTCCAGCTCCTAAGTGCCGGGGTGTCCACAAAATTCGCAGCAGCAAATTCTTTGCGATTCAACCGCTTATCGCACGAAGACCAGTCTGTATTTAATTACATACATATATGTATACACACACAAGTATCATACATATACCGAAAAGAACTCTCTGAAATTTACATTATCTAATAGGTTTACGAAGGATGAGCCGTTAAAAAATGAGAGAGAAGCGTTATATAGGGACTCGTATTAATTACCGTAAGTAAATAAATGACAATAAGAACGTTTAATCGATGTTTGTGTCGCTAAATTTTCGATATGACAATACTTGAGAGCAATCCCGATCAATAACGAGATCTTTGCTCGAGACGTAGGCTATGTCGCTATATTTTTCATTCGTTCGTTTTTTCTTTTTCTAAGGAAACCATTTGAAAGTAACAGATTCTAGTTTGTAAGTGGATAAAACTCCTACTTCTGTGAATGACAATAATAAATTATCAACTTGCAGGATTTACAATAGAAGCGGGCTGCTCCCAGAAAAGGCCGCTTTCTTTCCGAAATTAGCTATAATCAAAGCTCACAAATTTACATAACGAATTACATGTGTACGAATCAATCATTCGCCCATATAAATGTACGAGACAAATTATAAACAGTGTATTATTCTGCAATAAAACATAAGTCATAAGTCGCGTAGGTGAAGTGTTCCATTCGCATGATGTACATGTACAGATAATATATAGACAATAACGTATAGATATATTGTTCGTAGTGTGAGTACAAATAAAATTTTACTAATTTCGGTAATTACTAATTTCAGTAATTAACGAAGTTAAGTCAAAAATGTTAAATGAGTTTTTAGTCTTTTAGTTCAAGTCATTACAAATAATTGATTATCTTCTCTGACGTTTTTACATCATTCTCTAAATCGTTATGTGTCTAAATTAATTAGTCTCGCAAAATTACATGAAGTAAAAAGAAATGCTAGTGTACATCTTTGTATTAATAATTTCTACACATTTCTTATATAACTATATACTTTTCTTACCTTACCTACTTTGTTATTTCTTCAGTTGACCAGTGCGTAATTCCATTTTTCCAGGAGCAGCCCGATTACATCCCAAGTTGTTAGTTCATAAGAGACAAATAATAGCTTAGGTCCTAAGAGAACTTTTTGGCTATATTACTGTACATTAATACGTATAAAAAGAGGATAAATGAAACGTGTTTGTGGAAGCGCCTCCGGAGACTAAATTCAAAATATTAGTCGTCCGGCACAGCATGAGAACGGTTACAATGTTGTAAAGTTTCAAACGTGATTTCGAATTGTTAGTGGTACTTAGCGTGTAATATTTACAACTCTAGATCTATCTTTGAATTAATATAACTAAAATGGTCTACTTATAAGCTTCCATCCAAGCACGGTTACTATGTAAGACACGTGGAGCGACAGAGATGCGGTGAGATAGAGTGAAACTTAACGCGTTACTATGTACGAATGCAATTTATGCATTTTTCCATAAACAGCGGATTCTGATGAAAACTAGGCATATAATCATATTAACGATAAGTTTTACAAAAGAGTTTTGGAATGACGTCTTAGCGCATCTTCCGTTGCGTTTTAATTGCAATGTCTCGTTTTAGATTTCATACGTTTTTCAAAAGCTATATTTACGCGTGGAAACAACACGAACAATGTTGCGATTTTACTCTAAAAATACTCTGTAATTATTTGATAATACTGTCGGCTTATTAAAGGCATCGATATACGCTGATTAGCAATTATTAGGAAGATTTTGCAATACTGTATCTCTATGTATTATATACATTTTATCACAAATATCAAAAGAGAAGTTTTGCGAATATTGTGAACTAACTGCGAGTTAGTATCTGCGCTTATTACTTTGCGTTTTCATCACCATTTATTATATTAATTACTTAAACGTTTGATGTATGCAAAATTTACACGATATTGCAAAAACTTCTTATATACATATTTCCATTTTGGTTTCTCTTTTTCGTGCGATTATTGTATACGTTTCAAAACTGTACAACTAGCTTTGTATACGCGCAGACTAATATTTCAGACAATATATTGTAAAAATGATCTTTAAGTACGAACGGTCTTGTAACTTTTCGGTAAGGGGAATAAATAGCTGTAAGAGTTCGAGATAAAAATTATTTTAAAGTTTGTATTAAGGAACGAAGCGTCGTTAATATGTACAGATGAACGATGGATCCGAATCATACCGCGCTTAATCTTTGCATCAAATGTTGCGTCCCGCAAAAACCTTTTTTGCGGTGTGTGAAGTCGCAATATCGGAACGGTTGCAACAATATCAGCGCGTTAATTATATCTTCTTTCTATATTATATAGAAGCTATACAAAAAGAAAGCTCTATATTTTATAGAATTTATTTCTGAAGAAATAGAGCTCTTTATTACATTTCTTCAGAAGAACGCGAGTTAATTAAATCTGCAACGAAAAAGAAGACTTAAAAAAAATTCAGAATTTTTTCGTATTGTTTTTCTAATTTTTAAAAAATTAGAACTTTTTAAATTTCAATTTTAAGATTTTAAACAACTCTTATATATAAGAGTATATTTGTTGAATCTACGGGACTCGCTATCCAATTTAGAAGAATATTAATACTCTTCGACTCTTAGTTAATTCTATTATAGCATTATTAATCTATAAGATCGTGTAAATTGAGCTACGTTGCATATCTGACGTTCTTTTGATTGTATTAATTTCCTCGAGCACTCGCTGTCTTCTTCGAGTATTGATGGCTCATCAATATAATAAATGAAAAGACTGAAGATTTAAACGCCAAATCGATGTTGATGCATCCGATTCCTAGAAAGAATGAATTTCGCGAAAATTGGTGATCTCATGAAAAAAATTTCGTAGGCAAAGCACTCATTTTTAAGGACTTTTTAGATATATCGTTCTGCATACGAAAAGTGCATCCGTACCGAAAAAAATCAGGACGTCTTACGTAGCGAGTGAAAGTATTAGCTGGCGAACGAAAATTGATCGTCTTGCAGGACTAGCGCGCGCGTGTCGAATTGTATCCGAGGAACATTGAAATTGTCAACCCTTTCGTTTCTCTTCAGCATTTACGTGTTAGAATAGCTTAACTAACAAACTAACTCTACTAATCGTCTAATCGTTATCGCGGACACTTTATCCAAGATGCTCGTTTACCTCCTGTTTCAAGCAAATGCACGAACTACATTCGAGTTTAAATTCGAAAAGTATTTGCAAGAATGCCGAAGAATTCTGACACGACATCCTTTTTTCACCGCGGGGATGTCATGTTAGATAACACCATGCTGAAAGATAGGAAATAACGATCTTCTCGATTGTTCGAATCTACCGAATATATAATATATTATATGAAACATATGTCCCTTTAATTAATTTCAAGTGAATACGCAAACAACGCAGGTGTCTGAAAGATGTCTGAAGGTGTCTAAAGAAATCTCTTTAGATGCTCAACCGTGTTGTAAACGTTTGATGTAGCGTTTTTAAGTCTTCTGAGATGTTCCAAGTATTTTTTGTGTCTTCGGGCCCCCATCTCACGTATTGAGACGAAAATTCATGATGGTTTTCTCATATACATATATGCATTAGAGAAAGTTGTTCTAAATGATATCTAGCTATTCATTCATTCCGAAGTAAATTTGCCTAGAGATTATTAAGATATCAATGCTCATGGTTTCATCGTCGCGAGCACCATTTAATGAAAAGTCAATCCTTACTGTTTAAATCGTAATTTGACATATCTCGTAAGATAAACAAAATCGGGCAACGTCGATCGCGGAGCGCGCGAGCGTCGTTAAAATTCCGATTTGTTTAGTAGATAGGGAACTTTGTCGAAAATGTTAATTTTCTTTATATAGTCTATATGTAATGTACCGTGTAAATGTTTCTCTCAGTTCACCTGTAGTATTATTTAGAAGGCGCACGCGTTCGATCTTCAAAATCAAAGCCATGCGTCCGAAGAGAGGGAAATTTTGGCTGGAAAAGAAGACTGCTCCCGTTTCTCGACAGAAAAACATCGTTCTCTTGACAATAGAATAGAACACGCAATGAACCATATCACTGTTGCTCTTCAATGTACGACATACGTTCAGATTTCCATAGGATACGTCGTTTCATTTCAGGCATTATTCTTGCATTCCGTATTCGTTTGTCGTGCGCGAATTTATATTTGTGCGATCAAGATACGTGATTAGAAGTGTCTGTCAACTGCAAAACCGAGTTCTAAGTGTTGCTACAAAATGTATCTCAGGATGTTCTGCTCTTTTACGGACTATGAGTTTCATCGCACGTTTCACACATTAATCTTAATGGCTTTGATAGCGCCACATTTATTACTAATTGGGTAAAAAGAGCATATCTAAGTAATCACGAGGTATATGATATATTATGATTACGAATTATTGAACATTGTATCAAATTTTATATTCACTTCTTGTGGTTGACAATAAACTGGTTTTATAAAAAAAAAGAAGAAAAAAGGAAAAAAGAACCATGAAAATTGTCTTTGTACATTTAATGCGAAAGGCCAGCGAGCGATACAAATGGGTTTATACAGTAATATATTATCTACATATTCTTCATTTCGGATATCCCCAAGGATCTTTCTTTTGATCCATTAAGACGAGAGAAGATTCACAGATCTTTTTAAATATCTCGCGTAATCTTTCCTTTGAAAATACCTATAAAGACAATAAATGTATTAATATATATGCTTTTTATAAAACTTATATTTAAATATGTTACAATAGTTATTTTACTGTTTATACGTACTTTGTACAGCTGATGTTGCTCGGAAGCAAGTATGTCAGCCAGTTGAATGCAACCGTCGTGCTCGTTCATCTCGGACATAACCGAATGTAATAAAAGTGTGACTTTAGGGATACAAACTTCGCGCAGTTTTTCCAACTGATGTTCTCTAAGTTCATCTTCGGGCGTGCATGGCTCGTCGTTGCTACCCTTTGAATCGACGAGCCAGCCGCCGTCGGGAAACAATAAAACATTAAATAATAATTGTTTCACAGCCTGAAAAGAGGAAACAGATATTTAGTTTTAGATCCCCGCATTCGGTTTCGCTTGTGCTATTATATTTTGCATTAATATTTTCGCGTACCTTCGTATGATGCTGCATCGTAGATTTCCATCTTTCGAATTCTGAATTGTACTGCGTCTTTCTGTGATCGTACGCAACCTTTTCCGTAAACGTGGCATACGTCGGCAACTCTTCCGGTGGCGTAGGTTTACCGTGATGATAGTGCGAGAACCATTCACCGAAACCTTCTTGAGCGTCAAGATACGTTTTATAACAAAGGTATTCTCTTACCGATGCAGCCGCTTTCTTCGACAAATTATCAGTTATCGTAAGATTCGTGAGTGTGCAGTCCATAGTCGGATACTCGGTCATAACTGATTCGATCGAATCTGATGGGATCTATGCAACATAAAAACAATACCGTAAACTATAAAAACGTGTAAAAACAACTATCGTTTAACTAAATATTAATAAAAGTAATTCATTGTAGAATTATTTATAAACTACGCTGAAAAGTATGAAAAAATTTATATAATAATTAAAACCATCATTTTCAGTCTTTACCTTGTTAAATGCTTTTCGCGCCGCATCGATCTTTTCGTTAGTCAGGAAGTATCTAATGAGCGCGTTTGTTTGTCGTAAAGCTTCTTCTCTTTGACTTTGATAGAAAATCAGCCAATCCAGACCATTAATCTTTTCCATATCCGCCTCGGTAATAGTTCCTTTTAAGTCCGTTGCATCGCATTCTAGATGTTTCTTACGTATATTTTCCACCACCAATTTCGTAATAGCTTCTACATTTAAGTTCGCGTCTTCCGCCGCGCGTAAACATTTCTTCCGCTGTTCATGCTCTTTAACACATTCTAAGTAAGAGGCATAGTTGGTTATTTGATCCTCCTGAGGTAACGTGGCTGTGTAGAACGCGACTAAAGTTGGATCGCCTATTTCAATAAGGACGCGAACGTATGCCAGCAATACTTTGTCTTCCACTTTATCTTTTGTACTTTTCCCGATCTGCCTGAAGAACAGTATTATATGTGCCAGGAATCTGAGGAACTGCGAGTCGCAGGCGCCGACATCAATCATACTTTCGATCTCTTCCATCAACTTCGGTATTTGATCTAATATTATATATTTTTGAATTAAATGATCGGGTTTGTTAGATTGGGCACGTATTATTGGATTTTTCGACGCGTGCAATTCTTTGAACGCGTCTTCCAACGAGATTTCATTTTTCCAATATTCCTCCGGCATAATTGTATATATTTTTATCATCATTAACCTCAGTGCTGATTCGACTTTAATATCAAGAAGAGTCTTCACATATGCCCACAATGCATCTTGCCAAGACGATGCTATCTGTAGTAGAAGTTGGACATTGCCGCAAAGACTTGCGTATATGGCACGATAAAATACACCTGCACAAAAAATATTTCTGTATAATTTATTTACATATAACAAACAGTTAAGTCTATAATTCATCAAAAGTTAAAAATGAGTACAAATTTTATTATTTTAAAATCTTTAGAAATTATTCTAACAAAGTGTTCTACATAATTACAATATTAAATAGATTACCTATGCGTTTATCCTGAGATAGTTCCCAAGCGCATAATTTCCAAAGACTTCTGTTAGGATTCCCTTCGATTGGTAATTTAGTGTCTGTTAATGGATTACTGTAATTTGGATCGTGATTAGGAATCCATCCTAATAAACATGCGGCTCTCCAAGGTTGGCCACAGTGCATAGCCAGTGATTGTGCTTTCTGAAGACGTCCGCAACGTACCTACGATATACATCTTTTAAAATACCAATTATACTTCTTTCATCTTTTCAAATTTTTTTTACATATTTAATATTAGAAGATTTATACAAATTATAATTATTATAAAAAATAATAATAATAAAAAATAATAATAATAAAAATAACCTATATGTACCTCTATAAACATTCTTTTTTCAAGTCTGGCATCATCTTCTCTGTCCAGATCGTGTAATGGTTTACCCTCCCGTATCGGTGCATCGGGATCGAGGGACGAGACCAGTGGTCTGGACGAGCCAAATGCAATTTTTAAGTTCTGATTGTGCAATTGATGAACCGTATTTTCCCAGGCTACCGTTTTATCGGTAAAGAGCTCTATCGACGGATATTTGTCTGCCTGATCCAGAGCATTTTTTTCTAGCCAATCAATAATCAATTGATATTCCCTGATGTAGCCCTCAGACTTGTACAAATTTTCTATAATATCCTTCTCAGAGATGTAATTGTTGTTTACAGGCCCATCGTGTTCCATTTGAGTGGACAAACCAGCGCTGCTTATACGGTTCTGGTAGAGGCAGTATATCAGTCTCCATGTGTTTCTCTCACTTTCCAAAGAAGTCTCCTCTTCCGCTACTTCCGTATTCTCAACTTTTGACTGCATACCTATTGGACATAACAAACATTTCGCTAAAACTTAATACCAACAATTTGCTACAAAATAATCAAATAACATAATAAAACTGATGTTTTTCCATATTATTGAAATATTAGGCTCGTTTTATGTCAAATAACATGAGCATAATGGGCCAGCAATACGAGCTAAAATCAAGATATTATAATAATAATAAAGTTTATTCGCAAATAGGTAAACAGAGTTTCAAATTTACAAGAATTCTTCTTCAGTACTGAAATAAAATTTACAAGAATAAGATTAATAATCGATACTTATAAATAAACTTTATTATTAATATAATATCTTAAATTTAGCTCGTATTGTTGGCCCATTGTTCCTTCATATAATTTTCCCATATTTCTCAATACCTCTCATGATGTCCAGTGTGTCGGTGCAGTTTTGTATGAAGTCCGCGATGGTGTCGAAGACCTGCGCCTCCGAGAAGTGCGCCTGCACGCTCTGCAGGAAGTCGTAGTAGAGCTTGTCCTTGGCCTCCCGCCACGGCTCGTTCGCCTTCAGGATCGCCCCGGTCGCCGTGCTGTCCTCCATCATCTCCTTGATGGTGATGTCGTTCCTCTCCGAGCGCACCATTATGTCGCGGATCTCGTGGGGCGCGAGGGTCAGCGAGCTGTCAAGCTCCAGGTTGTGGAGCTTGCTCAGTCTGGACCCCGCGGTCCTGTCGGCCATCCCCGGGCTGTGCGTGTCGTTGAGCGTCTGCCTACCATCGTCGGCGTCCTTTCGCGACTGACCGGCCGGCTGCAGCGATATCCTCCTCGGGGTGGTGCTTCGCTGGCCGCTTAACCTCAAAAACGTCCTTCGCTGACTGTTCTGCTGGCTCAGCAGGCGAATCGACTGGTCGAGGTTCTCCTTGACGTCGGTTGACGAATCCATCTTCCACCTGGACAACCGCGGCCAACGCGGTTCGACAAGAAATCTCGGCTCGGGGCGTTGAAAGCTGAAAGTCGAAAACACGCCACGTGACCTGTACAAACAAATACGCCGGTAATACGCGCGCCTCTACACGGTTACCAACGTGCGACTCTATTATTTTCTGACATCTTTTCTCGTGGACGTAGAGATTTTTGACGTAAACGGGACAAAGTGACCATTTCTAGTGACATTCGAGCAGCTGCGACGCTGCGACATCTCTCGTCTTTCCTCGCACGCGCCATTCAACAAGTTATTTGACAGTAGTGACGGTTAGATCAAAACAATCGGTGGGATGGACGACATCAGTAAGGTGGGTTTTTTCCTCAAGAATGTCCAAAAACTTATGTTTATGCGTGCAGAGCAATATAATGTTATTTGCTTTATTATGAATAATTATTAAAGATATAATTTCATTAATGGTTATTAAGGAGAAATCTTGAGAGTAATATAATGCTATCAATTTTATTGTGAATAATTATTAAAAAAATAACTTTACTGCTGTTAATGGTTTTAAGGATAAATCTTGTAAAATAGACGTTAATCAGTAATTAATTGAAAATAGGTGGCATCGATCTCACACAATGATTTAGTTTGTACTGCAACTGGTGCTGCGAAGTGCCACGAGGGAGATGTATCAGCCGAGGAAGTCTTGCTTCGCCACTTGCGAAAGGCCATCTCGGAGACAACAGAGGAGAACGTCGCGTATACAAAGGAGATGGCGACCTTATTGACCAAATTGAATCTTGATGTCAAGTCATTGCCCAATGACATAAGGGAAGGTTTAGAGAAAGTATCTTCGATCCTGAGAGCTGAGAAGCTATTCGAATTTGATGAGACAGCGCTGCGAGTTGTTAGAGAACGGAAGATCGTAGAGGAGAAGAGGCGGCAACGAGAGGAGAAGCAAATGTCCATCAAGTATGATAATTTGTTTAGAAATTGCACAAGGTTACAGGCAAAGCTCGACCATCTTCAAGATGCGGTGGATTCTCTTAAGAACGCTGCTGATATCATGGAAGATAAGGATATCTATTGCAACAAGGTTTTTTTATCTACAAAATTGAAGGAGTACCAGCAGGCTGTGGAGAAACTGGAGGCAGATTTAAGTGACATGCAAGTCGACGAACACTATTCGGAAAAGATATTGAATAAATATAAATTGTATCTGGAGAAGACGAGCAGATTGGCAGATCTCAACCAATCGCTCGCTCAATACGGCGATTTACCGCCTAATTTGCTGCAGGCTAAATTGCTGGTGGAAAGCAAGAGGAAAGAGTACGAGAACTTGGAACAGATGTTTTTGGAAAAGACTCAGTAAGCTCGAATTTCAACAACATCTCAAACTTCGTTGAATCTCAATATATTTCAATATTTTTTTGTAATATTCTTCATACATATATCACATTAATTTACCTTAAAAATAAAAGATTATTTATATGTGCACGCATTTTAAAGAGAATCTTGTACAAATCGTAGCTTTTTAGAAACCGTACTTCGATTTTGTTTGTTTCCGTGCCATTCTATTCTGAGACCATTGATTCTTGAGTTCCAGTTCCATGGCCTTAGCTTGATGCGCCAGATAAGTTATCTGATGTTTCTTCTTGGATTGAGAGTTTACCCCACCGCCTTGCATAGACACCGGCCTGTGCACAGTTTCTTCCGTCAGTGCCTTTACCAACCATTCTCTTTCATCTGGTTTTATGTCTTCTCCGTTTATCTCGATTATATCCGCTTCGTCTATTTCCTTGCGTTTTATACCCCGTCGTCCACATAGATACTCGATCGCCTTCTCGTCAAAGGCAACGTTGCCCTCTACGTCGACATTGTATTCTTGTTCAGGAACGGGCAGCTTCGGGCCAACTTCCGCTTGGTTCTTCAGTAAAATCTCTTCCTTAGGTAAATTCATAATGTTGCTTGTTAACGTTTTGCTCGAATTGCTCGCTTGCCCATTCGTCGAGGTATCAGAATTAATGGAGGAAGAGCTGTGACCTTCCACGAACGATGCTTCAGCATCTGGCCTATGTACAAAATCTGAAGACAGTTCCGAGTCTAATAATCCTGTTCCGGAACTGCCTGGCGCATCTTCATTTGTAGCTAGCCCAAAGAAATCTATCGCATCTTCTTCGTCAGAGCTCAAGTCATTATGCGATTTATCCGAAGTTCGCCTTTTTACTTTAGAATCATTTTGACTTGTACTGGATTTCGTTTTTGACTGTTGTACATTTGCTTTCACCGCTGCTTTCTTAACAGCCTGAGGTACTAGAGTCTTCTTGCTTGTCGTCTCTCCTTTTGGTGCTACCAACAAAGCGAAGAGTCCACAGCCTTTCTGCAAGGATCAATAATTCATGAGTTATATCTGCTTAGTATATATATATATTTATTCAGAGAAAATTTTCTGAACTTACCAGTGACGGTTGTACGATCTTGGCTGGCTTCTCCTCGTCCTCCTCCTCCTCAAGATCCTTAAACTGATAACATGTGACAGAGATTAATACAGAATGTTCGATAAAATTAAAGACCTAAATTTACTTTTTTTTTTTAATTATTAATTTTTATCAGTAATTTTATATACGCATACCTCCGATAAAGAAGGCACTGATATCCTCACTGTCTGTTTCTTTGCTGGTTTTGGGACTTGACCTTTCGTTTCCTTCTTCAACAGAATATCGTCCTCCACCTCTTCGACCTTGCCCGTGAAAGTGGGATCTCTGGGCTTCGGCAGCGTGTCGAGAAATTGCTGGAAGTTACTGTCGCTCTCTTTCTTCTCTTCCTCCTCATCGTTTGTATCTTGCAAAGTTACTCTCGGAGCAGGTAAGGACAATTTCGAGCTTATTTGCACGGTCACGGCCTCGGTCGCGTCGTTATCCGCATCGTTCGCGGCGATCGGCTCCGCGGTCTCGTTGTCGTCGTTTTCGGAGCTCTCATCGCTGCTGTCGTATGCCACGAGGCTCATTTTCGATCAGGAATACGTTTTACACTCGGATTCTGTACATTCAAGCGCGACATAACCATCACTGGACGATGCTCTGACAGATTTTCAGATCGGTACCATTGAAAGCCACCAGAGAGAGAGTTTATGCGTTCAGCGACCTCATTCTACACACTTCGTACCTCTGTATCTAAAATTTTTCCCATTTTTATCACAGTTCATATTATAAATAATACAATTGTTAAATAGTATAATAATAAATTATTAAATATAAATAATTTTTCTTTTTCTTTTTCAACATCTTATTATCTCGAGTAGAATAAAATCTCGATACTTTCCGTTGATACTTTCTTTTATATATAAAAGCAAAGATAAATTTTGCCAAATAAACACTATAAAGTTAATAATTTCTTTTGAATATAGAGTTATCAATCAATTATTCAACGTAAAACTCTTTGATTGTTTCGGATACAATCTAAATGTTTGTATAATAGGACATCTGATAGAAAACATTTCGGAGTAGAGCTGTCTTCGATTTTTTCTCTTCTTTTTTTAAATAATGATAGGTGCCGTTTTAAGATAGATACTGGATATTCGGTAATTTTTACTCAATTATGTTCATTTTCATCAATGCAGACTAACTTTAATCTCGGTTTAACTTAGATTTTATTTTTTTTAATTCTAATTCCTAGAACTAGAAGATAAAAAGTTAAACCGAGATTAATGGACACATTATAGTAAATTAAAGATTATTAGTATAACATATACATCACATACGTAGACATAATTATCGACTGCTAATCGGAGCAGTCAATAATACAGTGTTCTGAGTAACCGATGACTGAATAGTTAGGTAATCGGATATCAGCAGAAATTATTATGCGTGAATCCGCGGTCACATATTTGAAATGTATTTTACAAACTCGAAGACTAGATGACAGCAGAATTAGCATTCATTGGCGCAATAAACGAACCATAAAGTATCTGTAAGCTTCTTTATCCTTTTGATAATAGTTATTATATCTATAAGCTTTAAAAGATGTAATATGCATCCTAATGTTAAGCTTATATGGCTTATATATAAGCGCGTTTCTCTAGCGTTTGTTGTAATTTATCTCTTTGAATAAAAAGGAATGCGTTAGACGAATTCTGCAAGGATGATTAATCCTCACAATCATTTCGGATTAGAAAACCTACGGATTCGAGCTCAACACACTGTGGACATACATTTATATATATAATATATATATATATATATATATATATATATATATATATATATATATAAATACACACATATTTTTTTTATGATAGAGACAGTTCTATAAATATTTGAAGAAATTAAGTGGAAGCAAGATATCATTTAATCTAAAAAGAATACAAATAAGAATAAAATTTATATATTTGATATAAATAGAGCAAAAGCAGTGAAAGCTTATTTTCTATTTTAAATAAAAAAATAATACAATAACTAAAGATAATTATACCTCTATAAAATTATTTTTCGATAAATTTCTAAGAAGATGATAAATGCAAAGCAATGCAAATTGCAGGCGTAGTGAAGAAATGGGATTTTTAAAAGACATTATATCTCTACACTGCAGAATTTTGGAAAATATACATTATATTTTAAAATACAAATATAATATCAAATATTAATTTTGCTAACAGAAATATGTAAAATTAAATTCAATGTCTTTTTTATAAGTATAAATGATACACAGAGAGAGACGCGTAATATTAAAATAAACTATAAAGTAAGTGAGGGAGATACATATATACAAATAACAGAGACCCTCGTAAAACCCTATTAACTCAATAGTCTTTTTTCTTTTGGCCATCAATTAATTATGCTTGCTAAGTTGAATATTATATTGCGCTTATACGATAAATTACTATTTCGATAGTCTTCCTTTGTGTGACAGAGAGGTGTCTTTCATTCTCCCTTTTCTTTCTCGAGTACACTGCCTCGTAATTTTCCAAAATTGTCTCTGTCTGCTCATATTTACCATTTAATAGAATGTAATAATGTGGTTTTTTAGCAGTTGACCGTATTTGCAGGTACCGCCTCCAACGACGAGAGATCAGCCCGTCCCTGATTCGTCCGTCTGAAAACCTTGCTCTTTTACGCAATTTTAGCGTTTATTAAAGTTTGCTCGCAAATGAAACGAAACCCATATAACCTACCTAATTTAGCGAGTAGCATTTTCGAGTGGGGGCCACTTCAGGAGAGCAGGAGGAGGAGAAGGAGGAAGAGGAGGAGAGGTCGGGTTCTATTGACAGCGGTTATTGCCTAACTGCGTACCTCCACCTAATATGCCCGCTTGGGGATTCGCGCATCCAGATTCCAGGGCCGCTCGAACGAAAACTGCGAAACATACCCTCGAATCTTTAATTCCACCCCCGCGCGTACTTAATCTCTCCGTCGATTCTCTGTAGCCGCTCTCGCTCGCGCGTTGCCGCGCGGATTTTCGCCCAAATTTATGTACATTTTTTTTTTCAGTTCTACCAGACATTATTATTAAGTTTATTAAAAGGGAACAATTAAGAAAGACGTTTCGTCGGTTGATTTTCTAGATAAAGATCGATTCAGTTATATCGACATACATATTTTATGTATATCGTTTATGTATATTTTAGCAAACATTTGCGATTGCTTTGTGACGTTTGCAGAAATTGCAGTGTGCGGTATAGAACTGTATTATGCGATGCATTGCTTGGCGGAGGCACGTTGATAGAATCTTCGTTTTTACCCGATCTACCCTTTTACGACGGTGATTATTTAATCACGACGAATCATCGCAGATCGCATCGCGATTTGCCATCGCCGAAACGGAGATCTCTTCCTCCGTTCACGACTGGGTTTATCCTTTTTTTTTCCCTTTTCCGTTGCCTCGATACCTCGACGTACGTGTATGCTCGCGAACGGATGCGGGCAAATAACGGCCCTGCCTGCATTTGAAACTCTATTAACTCTCCGAATATTAGCTCGTCGAGCGAGATTAACCTCATTGTGCCCCGTTGAAAATGATGACATCACTATTAAACTCCCGTCGGCTTACGGAAATTGATTAAACTATCAAATTAGCTCTACTAATATCAACACATCAACGCCGCGAGACCGGGCCTCTGGCTTCGAGGTTCAATCCTAAATGGCATGAATTTGCCGGTCCGCACGATCGTTCGACGTGCATTCATCGGTGCGACTATATTCTCCAAGTTATGCAGTCGTGACTGAAGCTTTAATACATGGTGAAGCCGGGGTGGGTGATATACGATTGCGACACACCATCTCGCGCGTTTTAATTTTCCGGCGTGAATTAGTCGATAGCTCTTATATCCTCTTTCAGGTTTCTTTTCCTGTCCGAGGCTTAATTGAGTCATGTTTAGATAGGTTGACAAGTATTGCAATGTCAAATTAATTGTACTAAATTTGAGTCATTTTTAACCATTCGTATAGGTCGTTACTGCTCCTACTAAATATGTCGTTAATTTAACTAAAACAATGTTAATTTAACTAAACCAATGAAATTAAAATAATACTGTTTTGCGTTAAAATAATCAATTTTGATACACATGGCAGTTAAATATAACAAAATGTTATTTAACTCAAAGTATTGGTTTAAATTTCATCCTTTAATGTTCAACATTGTAGCTCGAGGAAGCTAATTGTAAGATACTGTAAAATTCTTCGCTTCTACATGGATCAAAAGTTTTCACGCAAGTTTTCGAACGGAGTATTACACGCTATAATCGTTTGGTCAGAATGTGATACAACAGAATATCGATTAATAAAATACTGTAGCTAATTTAGAAAGGCGTGTTGTTCCGTTTCAAATACGCCAGTCTTATAGTTGGCGTTTCGTGAACACAAAAGTTATCATTAAAAAAATTCGTACATATTTATGTTCCTTTAGATATTCGATCAGTGGTTAAAAACTGCACCTAGCGCAGTGCATACGGATAACACCGTACGATCATGTCGTAAGAATTCGAATAGTAACGTTCCCCTTTCTCAGGCCACCCTTTTCCATCCGGCATTCAGGAACTACGGAGCGTTAGATGTACTGTTAAGGGAAGTGTGAACAATTTCGTGCATTGTCGAGACTATAATATGGATGGCTGGCAGGATAATTATTGGAGGCCGTTTGAATCTAACTGTTTCCTTCATTAGCAGTCTCAGTTCGCCCGTTTATCTCCCTCTCTCTCTCACTCTCTCTGTACCTGCAACACCCCCTCGCCCGCCCGGCCCGCGCAAGCTTCCTCTCCCACTCGCTCTTTCTCCCATCTCTCTCTTTCTCCCTGTCTGAATTTTGTGCAGAATTACCCGCCATTATCATAATTGCGCTATTACCGATAATATCTACGACTCCGCTTCGAAACTGTACCTCGATGCTCTTAATCCATTTTCTATTTGGACAGCGGCGGGGGGCTTACGGTGGACGAGAAGTCGCAAATTCCGTTGCGTAATTTCCGCTCCATTGAATCGTTCCTTCACCTCCCTCCTCCCGGTCTCTCTCTCTCTCTCTCTCTCTCTCCTACTTGCCGCGAGATTATATATTTTGCAGCAACAGACTGGATAGCGCAAAAACGAAACACACGTCTGCATTTCTAATCGTCACTTCTTTCTTTTGCTCAGAGACTTTTTTCCGCAAAGGCGTTACGTTGTTAACAGTGACGCGTGAGTTCAACAACGAGTTCATTATATGGGATTGTAAATTAAGATCGAGATAGTAAACATTGGAAAGTTACACAGGGATGTTGTGAATAACACAGAAAGTATAATATAATGTAAAAGATTCACTGTATGAGAGAAAAAAAAGAAGAAATATGATAGCAGTTATATAATGCGATTTTACCATATTTTCTACGATAGTAATATGCGTCAAATGACTGTAAAGCAATAAGACCGTAAAACCGCACGACTATAAAGTCGAAACCAGGATTTGTAGCGTTCGACACTTCGACGCTTGTTTCCCGTGTCCGCAATTAGACCAAGCGGCAGGTGGTACACTGAACATGACAGTTTTTAGAAGGGTGGTAGAATAAAGGGTCACCTCAATGCCGCACATAAATCCCGTATGCATTATCCATTATTACGAGTGACGATCAGTATTTCCATAAACGTGGTCGGGATATTATGAAGCTCTT